GTCTACTAATTATGTGTTTTAGTCGAAAATATTTTAATTTTAGAGAAGATTTTTAAAATGAAAATTATTTTTTATTTTTTTGTTTTTGATACAAGAAAAAAAACTTACTTGAATTGAATATTAAAATTTCTATGTTCTTTCACTAGTTCTTTCAAATTTGTTGGCAATCAATGAGTATCATTCCACACTATATTTTTATACATAAGAGGTATTTAAGCCTCACATTATAATTAAATCCCATAAAAAATGCAAATGCTCTCATGATTCTTTGTTGTCCTATGTGACTGCAATCTCTTAATGATAATATTTTTATTTCATAAATAAAATGTGTTAACTTATTTGATCTTCTAATCTATAGTCAATAGTCATATATCACAATTTATTTTAATATCTTCAGTGGTCAGATATAAAGTAAATGAATTGTATTTTGTTCTTTTTAAATTTTGAGTTGTCAGCTCGTCTGATTATCATCTTAAAATTTTCTTTTCCAAATATTTTTTTTTTCTTGAACTATCGAGATGATTCAGAGAAAGAGGGGAACTCAAATAACTAGATGAACAAATTAAATAAAGAATGTGAAGACCTTATGTAAGGTTTTCCTCGTGTCATAGGACAAGAGTGTATGTCCAAAAAAGATCGGATTAGGACACCTTAAAACCATATCCACAACTAAATTCTTTGAATAAGCAACCCGTATAACCAAAAAACCAAACAATAAGCAACTCCCCAAAAAACGTGTTTCTTTGGTTAATTACATTTTAGGTGAGATATCCAAGAGAACTCTTGATAATAAGAACCTTAATTACAAATTTGTGATAACTAGTGAAAAAGTATACCAAAGAAATACGATTATCTCAACTAGGAGCATCCCGACATCTCCAACACCCATACCGAGCAAAAAGGGAGAGAGTGAATCTATCACATCAACGAATGGGCAACGACCCGTCGACAAACGGAGCTTAGAAAATAATTGAATCGTCTTAACAGAAATATCCCTATGCTTCGAGACCTAACTAGACGAGTGGCTGCCTACTAGCAATTAGCGTCGATGAGGCTACATCAACGAGTGGTCAAGGGGAGACTGGGCCCGAAAGAGTTTTCCAATAAAGAGGTACACAAGTCTTACTCAAGTTTAGATAGTCAGGTCAGAATTCCATGGGTTTGTCATCCTAAGTTATCGAGACCCAACGTTTTCCTGGTCATGATGATAGTAGACCCAACCAAACGTGAGATCCTGTGTCAATTATCAATGAATTGTGTCGTCAAATGAGATCTCAATAGCCCCAGAGTCCATAGAAAGAGACATCTGATCCACGTGACTCTCTAAGAGTGAAGCTCGCAAAATTGGGGCTTATACCTGCCAAAAGTGGGAGAGATGTCTCTAGAATAGAGAGAAATGAGAAGTTTGGTTGCAAGGCTGAAATCACCTCTCGAATGACTTGTACCTCGTATGGGTCGGGAAACCTCTAACACTCTAGACGTGCTAGAAAACTACTTAAGTATAAGTTTCATGATTGGTATTTTGAGTTGAAGGAGCAAGAGGGCTCCTCCTGAGGACATGCAAAATAATACAGTCATAATCAACCCTAATGTGAAGACTTTATTATGTATTGTTGACCTAACTTTTCTGAGGACCTCTTTCTATAAGAACCTAAGACTTGGCCTTAAGGTTACTTAGTAACCTTCATAGATAGGTGGAGATAGGACTCACCCATAGAGCAGTTTTACAATCAATTAGGTTTCCTGAGTTTAAGCCCAAATCCTTAACCCTTGGTTAAGATGATTGAAGGTATAGCCCAGTAGAAGCCTAAGTTGACTCCCTGTAGGTGGAAGATGCCCTAGGCTACCTATGGAACTCAAAACCCTATGAATTCCTCTAAGGGACCATTGAATATCCTTGGGATTCTCATTGACCTAGGGAAAGCCCACAAGACAGGAGGCTAGATCTAGGCCAATGAAGGGTTCCTACCACCTTACCCTAAAATGTTTTGAAAATCCCACCACATCAAAATCTAAGGGGAGAAGAGTGACTCACCAAAATCAACCCTTGGTCTCACCTAAAACTTTTCCAACACCGACTAACTTTAAAATTGACATGAATCCCAAACACGTCAATTTGGCTCTAAGAAATTGAAATCACCAAGGGTCACCAAAATCCAATTGTGCCTAAATCAGCCTGAGTCAATTATAGAATAATTGAGCTCATCTCAATAAAGCCTAATTTGATTAAAGGTATTTAAGGCCCAAAACCACTTAGGGATCAAATTACACTAGAGAGGCAACCTATATAATTAACCTTTGAGCATCAGTGCACTAGCCTTCTGCTTAGCTCAAAGTTTTTAAGTGTAATATTTGTCATTGTTTATTGCACAAATACACAACATATACCAAAAAGAATTTTAAAAATACAAAACATGTATTAAATATATTGGAACTCCACATCATATTTTATACATATCACCTATTGAGATTGAGAGAGCTAGAGAGCCATTTTTTTTTGAAGAATCCATTTTATCAATCATATGACCTTCCATTTATATGGGGAAAGACAAAAAAGACATGTCTCTACTCTCCCCCTTAGGGAAAAAAGGCCTCATGCTTCTTGCTCATCTTATGGGGATAATCCTTGAGCAGTTAGAGTTTTCAGTCAACATACTGATCTCTTCTCTACTTTGTCCTTTAATCTTTGCTTCATGAGAATTTTCATATAAGGTGAGCGATTTCCAACACATTGGCACCAGCAATGAAACATAATCGCCTTCATGGTATACAAAGCCCCTTCCTCGTTGTTAAACTCTGTTCGCCCATCCGAGCCATGGAATAAGTGTTCTTTATCCTCCCATATCACTTAGCTGAAAAAGATAGGCTGACTGGGCCAAACCAAGTTGACGACAATGCGCATAGCTCATTTAACTTATAGAAGATATCATTACAATAAAGTAAAAAATGCAATATTTTTTTCTACTTCATGTAAATTTAAATATTATCTAAAGTACGTCTCTGTCTTAAAATAACATCATTATTTCTATAATCTAAGATTTATTTCATAGCCATTAGTAATAAATAATACTCAAAATTAGGTTTTCCTATCATAATAGGACCACTATGATCTATAAATTCTATAAATATAAATTCTCCTCACATACACAATGATAGCTTTAAAAAATAAGCTGTGTTATGTTATTTCTAGGCCACTAATGTGGACAAATAATTCTAAATTTGCTGATATTAATAAATCCCACAATATAATATTTTCAATGTAAAAATATTTAGTCAAAATGTAAGCTACCAAAATGTAGATCTGAAGTTTGATTTTATATAAAACAATAGCCATATTTCTTATGTAATTTTCATTCAAATCCTTAATATCACATAAAATATACCACTATTATCCCTTTTTAAAAGTGAAATGCACATTTTTCACGTGTTATGCATGTAAATATGAAAGTTAAGGCGTGAGATACGTAAATACAGAAGAGTTGTGTGCTATGCAGGTAAATTTACTTAGTTTCAACCAAACATGCATATTGTTTAATAATCAAGCTTAGGATTAGTTTAATTTATATTAATTTGTATTTTATTTATTTAAAATTGGAAATTAAATAAATTCTATCTAATATTTTATAATTTTGTTGTTAAATATCAAATAAACTAATTTACGCACTGTGGCTGAGACATATTATGCCGATATCAACAGTGGTCTACAGCTCCATGATACTTGTTTTTTAAAATATTCAGAATATTTTAATATTTATAATAATTAATTTGTTATTAAAATATTAAAAATAAGAGCAACTAAAAATCTCTGAATAAATATTTTTAGAATAAAAAAGAAAAATAAAAAGATTTTTTTTTTTTTTTATAAACAAGCCATAGAATTATAG